ATATGCCCGGAGTGATTTTCAACCCACTAGGCCCAGGACTCACACTGCAGTGGGCCATGTGGGAGTCCAGCACCTTACCGGTCATCACACCACCTGCTGGCCCCGCCTATGCCATTCTGAGAGAAGTGTCCCAGAGAAGCACTCACCTCCAGGGCATCAGGCTACCAAAGACAAGGGTCCTTGTCTTACCCAGCCCTTCTTGTCCTCCGTTTGCACCAGGGAGCTAACTTTAGACAGGGCTCTGAGGGTCGGCTGGGGGCTTGGGGCCCTGCTGAGGTGAAACTACTGCTAAAATGATTTGGGTGAGGGACCAGCAGTTTGCGTAATGGCTATGTCACTGGACTCCCATGTAGTCGACCATGGTTCGAGTCCTGGACCTGGTGGCTTAAACTCACGCCGGGCGTGTGTGCCTAAGATCCCAAGAGGAGAATGGAGAATGAAGGGATTGCGGTGTGACCACCCTCCCTGGAGGGTGATTTCTTGCTTTCTGTCTCCCTATCTCTGTCTTTCTGGCAAGCGCACGCGCCCTATAGCAAAAACCTCTCCAAAAAAAAAGAAAAATAATTATCTGGGTGAGAACACACAGCAAGGTTCTCTTTTTTTTTTCTCCCTGTTCCAAACCCATAGCAGTTGAGCAGGGAGATGAGAGGCCCCTTCAAAGCCATCCCAAGTAAATGTAAAATCTAGGGACCAGCAGATGGCATAGCTGTTACGTTGCTGGACTCCCAGATGGTCAGCCACGGTTCAAGTTCCGGACCCAGTGGCTTCAAACTCGCATTGGGTGCGTGTGCGTGCGTACCCATCTTGGGTACCCTTCCCAGGAGGAGAAGGAATTGAGGTGTGGCCATCCCCCCTGGGAGAGGATTTCTCGCTTTCTGTCTTTCTGTCTCTCCGGCAAGCACATGAGCCCTATAGCAAAAATCTCTCCCCTCCAAAAAAAACCTAAACCTAAACCTTACTGCATAAATCTCACTTTAAGAAATGTCTTCCGGGGCTGGCTGCTGCGTGATGCCGAATCTAAAAGGGAAGGTGCCCAGGGTCCCATATCTACAGCAAGTGTGCGCACAGCATGGCCTTGGCATGAGCCCTGCTGAGGGTGTCTCTCTCTCTTTTTTTTTTTTTTTTTTTTTTTTTTTGGAGAGGTTTTCGTTATAGGGCGTGTGCGCTCGCCAGAGAGAGACAGAGAGACAGAAAGCGAGAAATCACCCCCCAGGAGGGCCAGGCCGCAATCTCTTCTCCATTCTCCTCTCGGGATCTCGGGCACGCACGCACACGCGCCTGGCATGAGTTTTAAGCCACCGGGTCTAGGACGCGAACTGCGGTTGACTACGTGGGAGTCCAGTGACATAGCCATTACGCTAACTGCTGGTCATGGTAAGTCTCTCTCTTGAGGAAAATAAATCTTGAGAAAAGGAAGGTCCTTTAGGGCCAGCTGGTGACGTGGTGGGAAGATTCTGGACTCTCACATGGCCGACTGCCAAGTCTCAGACCTGGCAGCTCGCTGTCTCACTTTCCCTCTTTCTCTGGTGACTGTACATGCACTATAGCAAAAAATTCAAGTAACAATAACAATAATAATAAATAAAATTAAATAATGTTTTTAAAAGAAAAGAAAGATCCCCCAGCGTTTCTCTTCCCCCCGGATCGTCACCTCCCAGCTCTCCCTGCGCGTTATCCTGGAGCCTCCACGTTGCTCTGTGGCGTCTCAGAAACAGATTTAGGATTTCTGAGTTAGAGAAAAAGATTCCCCCTGGGGCCGGCAGGTGGCGTGGTGGTTAAAGGCGCTGCACTCCCACATGACCGACCACAGTTCAAGTCCTGGACCTGGTGGCTTGCTTTCTCACTTTCTCTCTCTCTTTCACTCTGTCCCTCTCTGGTCAAATGAAAATAAATAAATAAATAAAGATAAATAAAATGGTTCTCTAAAAAAAAATAAAGATTCTCCCAACTCATAAATCATACGAGTGCCACATTATCTATTTTGAGCTGAAAGTGTCCCCGACAGGCTAGCAAATTTCAAGGCAGCTTCAGTCTGGCTGTCCCTTCTTACCCTCCTTCCCCCTCTCAATAAATACTTTATCAAATACTATAATCTGGTGTTATTAGATGCCATGATGTCACAGCCACAGATTTCTTAAACACTCAGCTTCCTAGAGCCAGGGGTTTCCTTCTTTTATCTCTTGACAAATAAAGAGTTAAATTTCCCAGACAGCTGTAAGGAGCAGACTGGGTGGAGGTGAGAGATGAATCAGCCCTGACACCCCCAGGGTGACATACCTGTCTGCCTCCCCCACACACAGACCTGCTTCCCGACTCAGCGGCTAGGTGGGGCTGGGGGCATCCTGAGGGGAGAGCTGCCATGCAGAAGCCTGCCTTCCAAGCCCCCCACACGGCAGGGCTGGGGGCTGAGATGGACTCAGCCAATAGAGGGAAGAACGGAAAGGAACCAAGGATGGGACCCGGTTAAGGAACCCGAACTTGGTGAGCTGAGTCAGGAAACTGGCCTTTGTCGAAGCCTTTTTTTTTTTTTGGAGAGGTTTTTCGCTATAGGGCGCATGCGCTCACCAGACAGACAGAGAGAGATAGAAAGCGAGAAATCACCCCCTCAGGGGGGATGGCCACACCGCAATCCCTTCTCCATGCTCTTGTGAGATTAAGCCACCAGGTCCAGGACTCGAATGGCACAGTCAGCCATGTAGGATCCAGCTGCCTTAACCACCTAGGTGGCCTAGAAGTTTGTTTTTTTTTTTTTTTAAAAAAAAAAAAAAAAAAACAAACTTCTAGGCCACCTAGGTGGTTAAGGCAGCTGGATCCTACATGGCTGACTGTGCCATTCGAGTCCTGGACCTGGTGGACTGAAAAAACATGCCAGGCACATGTGCATACATGCCCAAATCCCAAAGAGAATGGAAGAGAAGGGAGTGTGGCGTGGTCATCCCCTCAGGGGACAATTTCTCACTTTCCCTCTCTCTCTCTCTCTCTGTCAAGTTCCTCCCTGCTGGGCCCTGGGATAGAGTTAGACTGAAAATATAAGGAGACTTTCTTGATCCTTGGACAGTCCAAGACGGGACTAGCAGTTGGCGTAATGGCTACGTGGCTGGACTCCCATGTAGTCAACAGTGGTTTGAATCCCGGGCCCGGTGGCTCAAATTCACACCAGGCGCATGTGCGTGCATGCCCAAAATTCCGAGAGAATGGAGAAGAAGGGATTGCGGCATGGCCATTTCCCCGGGATGGGGGGGGGAGGTGATTTCTTGCTTTCTGTCTCTGTCTTTCTGGTGAGCGCACATGCCCCATAGCAAAAACCTCTCCAAAAAACAAGCAAACAAACAAAAAAACCACCGGGCTTTGAGTCTAGGTCAAGGTCATACCAACACAGGGTGGGCACAGCAGTGGCTGTGGATAGGGGCAGGGCAAGCAGGCATCCAGAGGAGGGCCCGACCAGGCTCAGTGTCGAAGTGCCCTGTACACTGTACATTGTGCCCTGCAGACACCTTGTGTGCATGCCCACGTGACCATCCCCCAGGGTGGGGGAGTGATTTCTCGCCTTCTGTCTCTCTGTCTCTCTGGTGAGTGCATGGGCTCTATAGCACATTTTTGAAAGAAGGTGAAGAAAATAGTAGTATCTGCACAGGTTTCTTTAGGCTTCTGCCATAAGGCACATACACTCACTGGAGAGAGAGAGAAGGAAAATGAGAAATCACATCCCAGGGGGCCACGCCGCTATCCTATCTCCTCCATTGTCTCAGGACTTGGGGCACACATACACATGCATACATGTGCCCATGTGTGTGTGTTTTAATAAAGAATTATTCTATTTAACTTTTTTTTATTTATTTACTTCAATTTGACTAGAGAGGGGGGAGAGAGAGAAAAAGAGAGGGAAAGTGAGAAAGCAGGTTGCCAGGTCCAGGACTTGAAGAAGGGTAAGCCATGTGGGAGTCCAGCACCCTTAATCGCCATGCCAAGTGCTGGCCCCATGCCCAGGTTTCTTTTTCAAGTAGCTGGGTCGGGAACGGGAACCACAGTTGGCATGTGGGATCTGGTCACAACACTGTCCTGCCCTCCTCACCTCAAAATATACCAATAAGCAGTAGGCTGAATTTTTTAAAATAATTATTTAACTTTTATTTATTATATTTAAATTTTACCAGAGAGAGACGGAAGGCATGCCTGGGCTGAGAGAGAGAGAAAGAGAGAGAAAGAGAGAGCGAGAGAGCGAGAGAGCAAGCCGCCAGCTCTGGGACTCAAACCGTGGGCATCCTGCGCCCTTTACTTAACCACCATGCTACCTGCCGGCTCCTAGACTGAACTTTTTTAAATGTCAAATCCAGGCCAGGAAAAGATGGCAAGACATTTTCTGAGTGTGTGTGTGTGTGAGATGAACAAAAAGGTAAACCTGATTCTGTGATCTTCCCCTTGGCATCTGCTTTTTTTTTAAAATTTATTTATTTAGTTTCAATTGTTATTATTTTTAATTTGACCAGACAGAGAAAGGGAAAAAATGAGAAAGCAAGCCACGGAGGTCTGGGACGCGAACTGTGGTGGAACATGTGGGAATCCAGCGCCTTTAACCATCATGCCACCTGCTGGCCCCGTGCTTCTTTTTCTTTCTTTCTTTTTTTTTTTTTTTTGGTGGAGATTTTTGCTATGGGGGCGTGTGTGCTCAAGGGAAAGACAGAGACTGCAAGTGGGGTCGGGGGCATGCCACAGTCCCCTCGCCATTCTCCTCTTGGGTTTTGGGCACTCACGCACATGCCCGTCCTGGCCTCCCCCGCCCCCCAGGTCCTAGACTCCAGCCGCGGGGACCACGTGGGAGTCCCCAGCGTGTGCTTTTGAAATCCTCCTGACCAACACGCCGCCTTAGGGGAGCTTGTTCAGGGACCCCCGCGAGCGGTCTGGGGCCGGCGGGCGGGCCAGCCGCGGACAGGAGAAAGTGCCTCTCCCAGATCTGTCCACCCGGAGAAAGTCACCAGGCCTGTCTGGTGGGAGAACCCGGGTCACCTCCAGAGCTGAGCGAAGTCACTTGCCCTAGTGACCAGAGTCTCCGGCTTGGAGCCTTGAAACATGACACCCCTCCAGGAAAGGAGGGGACGAAACTGGAGACCCAAAAGGCGTCGGAGTGGCCCAGCCGCTTCCCCTGCGGAGCTGGGGGCTGTGGCCAAGAGCCCATCCGTTTGGGTCCCGCGGGTGTAGACAAACTTCCTCTCTGGGAACCTGGCGGGGCTGGACTGAGCTCCGGATCCCGCCAGGTGGAGGGGTGCCCGGCATGCTGGGGGCCGGCCGGGCCTGGCGGCGGGCGCGGCTGCTCCCCGGGCCTGGCCGGGACTCCGACGCGGGAGAGCGCGCCGCGGCGCTCGGGGGACGTCGGGTCTAAGCCCACCCGCCCCTTCAAAGGCACCGACGTTACGGACCTTCGCCTCCAGACCCGCTTCACTCTGTGCACCCACAGCGCCTTCGGGC